TGAATATGTTTTTATTTTAAAATTTTTATAATATTGATAAATTACAAAAACTAGACAAAGCAAAGTTTGTAAATAATTAAAAGTCAAATCGTGTCATATAATTTAAAGATTTAAACAGATGAAGTACATGGTAAGAAAAATTGTGTATTAGAGAATGTGAAACCAAAATGGAAAAAACAAAAGTTCTCCGCATTATAGACAATGAATTTTCGTTTTAAAAGTCAAATGTAACATGAATATCTTGCATTAATATGCTTCTAGATAGTACTCCAATATTCCTTAAATTGTACTGCATCCAACTTGAATAGTTTAACATTCAAAATATGGAGTTCTAATTAAGCTTAAGTGATTAAATTAGAGTAAAATTTTGTTGAATATATATGCACTCCATATATTTTAATTTTGATGGCTTATCATTTGCTTGTGCTTATTGCTAGAGAAAATTCAATATAGCAATGGAACGAAGAAGATGAATAAATCGTTTTGAAAATGTAAAAATTGATTAATAATTGTGAAAGAAGACCAAAAACGACCAAAAGCTTATGGAAGTACTTTTTTTTTTTTTTTTTTTTTTTTTTTTTTTTTTTTTTTTTTTTTTTTTTTTGAAAAGAAGCTTATGGAAGTACTTGATTACTCTAGTTTATTTCTTTTGGTATATCCCAATTTTACTTCATGAAACCGATTAATATATATATATATATATATTTTTTTTTTGACAGGAAAAGCATGAAACCGATTAATATTAATAACTCTCCATTTGTCTCTAAAAATGCTTTTTATGAACAATAATGATTATCTCATAAAAAATGGTAAAAAGCATAAAGAAATTTTGTAGGTGAGAAATTATAAACTAATCATAAATTCATAATGGGTTATATTATTATATTTATGAATTAAAATAATATAATTACTATTTAAAAATGATTTTTCACACATCAAACTTCTTGTTACTTATTTAAATACTTTGTAATTTTTACAGATTGTAAGTTATCTGTAATTTTTGTCTAGATTTTTTTTTTAAGTTAAATAAAACTCGCCATAAATTACAACATGAAAATATGAAATAAATTATTGCATACTTAACTACTTATGTAAAGTTAAGAATGACATATTTCATCATTTTTTATTCCATTGTTTATTGTATGATGTCAAAGCAAACGAAAAATCACTAACTATTACACTACATAGTAGTCACCTAAAGTGTTCGTTTTATTGTATGATAAAAATATTATAAATATAATTAATTAAATAATTTGAATGGCCATCAGTTGGTCAGATAAACGTGTTTTTATAACTTTTTGCTTTGCATAATTTATTTTACAACGAACACTTGTTAACTTGTTGCAAAATTTTATTTTATTTGATAATTTTAATTTTAGTGGATAATGATATGATCATTACCAAATTCCTCAAATTTTCAAATGTTAAGAGGAATTTAAGCGGTACACCCGGAAAGAACGAACATTAGCCATGCCATGTTTATGGTTTTCCTACTCTCTACTCTCTAGTTGAGCTAAAAACACTATTTGACCAATTAGAGACAATTAGTGAATAATTATGTAGACATAATATTTTATATCAACAATATAACTGAATTTTAAACTAAAAAAAAGAAATTTAAAATAATTTTGGTGGGCCCGTACATGCCACCCAAGCACCCCTATAGATCAGTGCATTGGAGATAATAGGATTTACACAAATTATTATATGTGGTTGGTCACACCATATAATCAAATATCATAGGAGTTTCTTCGTTAGTGTTATCGGAATTACTTCATCGGTGTTATGGGGTTACTTCATCGGTGTAGGCCCTCCGCATACCTGCGATAAAAATTCCACTTGAAGGTGGGGAGTAGATGAGTTTTTTATCCATAATAATAATGTTTGTGTCACGTTGGCTAATGATTGAGACCTAGGAATATTTTATACTCTATCAATAATTCGCTAAATTTATTTATCTTAGAATAATAATATTTTTTTCTTTGGAAGATCATTCTCTTTCTTGAAAATCTAATTTGTTGAATAAGATTATCCGCTAAATTTGAAAAACTATAATGTTTGTTGAGCTCAGAGGATCAAGTTACACGAACATGTAGCAGGAGGGAAGAAATCACGGAAAGTAGGTGAATCAATTTACGCTGTTGTTTGAAAACTTAAACTCTTTTACTCCCCAAAAAACGTTTCTTATAGTACGTAATAGTGTAATACGGAGTATATATGAGGTTATGACTATGAGCCTATGAACACCTACAACTTTATCTTATACTCCGTAACTAGGATCATGATGCACATCGTGTTTTGAATGAACATATAGTTCAAAATATGAACATTTATTTGTATAATTACCAACATTTCCGTCATATTAGTTTGTATAGTTCAAAATTTGGACATTCAGTTCATTTTTTTAAATCACTTCATCAATGAAAATGAACACATGTTTTAAAGTTTATGAGCAATAATTGAACATAGATATATGTTCTTACTACCTCCGTTAAATGTTGTTATGTGCAACTTTAGAATATTTATATCTCACAATTAATACCCTAAAGTTGCAGATAAACAATTAACTGACGTAGTATTTTAGAACTATATACGTACATATTTGTAATCATTTGGGACAATGGTGTGCTTGTAGGCGTATGATATATGATCCTATATATAGAAATTAGAAATGTGTTAGAAAATATACAAAAAACACAATGGAGATTTAAAGCATAATATACACAATCCTCCAAAACCAAAAACAAGGTTCACAAAAGTTCATGGTTTAACACAACGTTCCGCAAGCAAAATTTCAATTTAGGTCTCATTTCTCTTAGATTGAATTAATCTAACTTAATAAACTAAATCGAACTTTAATACTACTTCCGTTTTTTTATTTAACACATTTTGACTTTAGCACTATTCACACACTTCCCTTTGACCGTGTTTTGTGATTTATACGTAATGAAAAATATAGTCATGTGAGATCTTGTTAGATTCGTCACGATATATAATTTCAAAATATCGACTTTTTATAATTTTTACTTTTCAATAACTAATGTATTAACGAATATGTGTATTGACAAACGTAACTAAAGAAACGTGTCAACTGAAAGAAACGGAGGAGGTATAATTAAATTCAAAAATTATTGCTGATGGTGTTGTTGTTAATTTCAATTTCATAAACTAAAATCTTGAAAAATAAGTCCGAAGAGCAGGACTTAACAAACAATTAAATTCAAATTTTACAAAACAATAAAAGTTACAAAAAAAAATAAAAAATAAAAAAAATTCATACTCCGTATTTTTAGTGTTGAGTCATATATATTCAAATCCCAATTTAAATCTTAGAATCATACGATTTTTGATTCATGTATGTCCATACGATTCGATTTACGATACTACTAGATTTTCCACATTTCTCTTACCTAGCGAAAACCCTACAAGTTTAAAGCATGCTTCTACAAGTTTATTTATAAACTAGAACCGTGCATCGCACGGGCTTATATCTAGTTATAATTTAATTTGCGCATATGAAATGGTACTTTATCGAAAATAAAACTCTAAATTAACAATTTTATCCTAAAATTCTATCCAAATTTGATTGAAAAAAGAACTCTAAATTAACTTTTTATCCTACAAATTAAATTCTATATAACTCTATCCTACGTGGCGCGACACTTAGTGAAAAGTTGGAACGCCGCCAAGTGTCGTTGTCTCGTTGCCTGGCTAAAAGTTTAGCTTTATATATTAGTTATATGATATATATTGTCCATTATTTGTTGTTTAGTAGGCAAACAACTATTTTCTATTAATAATTGGGTATTAACTTGTAATTTAAATATATTCGATTGAATTTACATATGACGTCTTGATTATACATGTCCATAGAATCTTACAATTCTACGATTCGATTTTGAAAGCCCCTAGAATCTCGATCTTGAGTGAGCCATAAAAGGCAAAGATATAGACATAATTCAATCACTTCTTTTATTTTTTTAATTTTCTTTCTTTATTTATTTATTATAATAAGATTGAGTTATTGACAAAAAATCATAAGACCTATATTAAGAGATTTAGTTTTATAACATACATAACAATTCAATTAAATCAATTTTTTTTTTTTTTTTTTTTTTTTTTTTCTGCAAAGCCAAGATCATGTTTGCATACCAAACCTTTTTCATACCCTCTTTTAATTTTATATCATGTTTTACAATCTTGTTCAATAAAGAGGGGGTTTATCAATCTATGCAATTGTGAAGATAAATTCCATAGCATATAATTTATCCAATTGTAATTAAATGATTAATTTCTCTTTTAATTTGCATAAATCTTTACCCAAATACAATTTGTACTATATATGGAGTATATACAAAACTCAAATTATTGAAGTTGAACAAATTACACCACAAGAGAACTTATTACACTTAAACAATCATGTTAGCTTCTTCTGTTTTCTTTATACTGCAAAAATCCATTGGAACCTTCAAAACATTTACATAACCTCATTTCTTAATTTTTTTAAAAATATTTTTTTATTTTGATTTCTTAATTTATTAAGTTATCAATATTACTCGCGCATGATTGTGCATACATAAGTTGCTTAAATTGGAAGTTACAAAAAAGATTGAATAAGGCTAAGCATTTATTAAAGCCCTAATGTCTTCTCACCAAAAACATGAAAAAAACCAAGTCGTGTGTCTGCCATACGTCTATACGCATTACGGCATTAGTGTATAATTTTGACCTAATGCAAAGGATAATAGGATGAAAAATATAGCTCCTAAATCCTCGCGCAAGTTAACTAGCTAAAGTCACCAATAATGTAGAATACAGACAAACTATACACTTAGTCAATATCAAAATTTCCAACAACCACCCAAATTTTATTAGTAGAAAAAAATGATTTATTTACGTTAATGTTCAAAATGATTTATTTACGTTAATGTTCAAAATGATTTCTTATAAATATGGTCCCATGCAATGAACCATATCTCACAAGTCTAAAACAACTAACTAGGGTTATACAAGAGAAAAAAGAGATCATAAAAACAAGGAAATATTTTACATTACCACCTAAAAATGTAACCATTTTTAAGTAACCACCCATTAAATTTTTTATTTTAAATTACCACCCCTTAAATTAAATAAATGCTTAGATTACCACCCATTTCAAAAATTCGGTGGATTTTTCGTATGTGGGCCCCACCTAACACTTATTTTGACCCTTTTGACTGATTTTTTCCCCACAATTTCTCTCTTTAAAACACTCTCCTAACTCTAATTCACATTTTTTCTCTTTGAAATTTGGTTGAATTTGGGGATGGAAATGTGAATTAAAGTATAGAGAGCGTTTTTAAGGAGAAAAATCGGGGAAAAAATAAGTCAAAATGGTTTAAATAAGTGTTAGGTGGGGCCTACAAACGGAAAATCCACCGGATTTTTGAAATGGGTGGTAATCTGAGCATTTATTTAATTTAAGGGGTGGTAATTTAGAATAAAAAATTAAACGGGTGGTTAGTTCGAAAATGGTTACATTTTTGGGTGGTAATTTAAAAATTAACCTAAAAACAATGGCCTCTTCAAAAATTGTCCCACTTTTTCTAGTATTGTCATCCTTAATAATAGGAATCTCAAAGGGTCAAAGTAGTGTACCAGTTGTGCCTGGACTTTCATACACATTTTACTCTTCTAAATGTCCTAGTTTGGATTCCATCATTAGAAATCATCTTTCACAAGTTCTTCAAAGTGATATAACCCAAGCCGCCGGCTTGCTCCGCCTTCATTTTCATGATTGCTTTGTTCAGGTAAATACTTATTTATAGAAATTCAAAAACTATGCATATATCTTGTTGATTTTTCCTTCCCAATTATGAGCTTTATGGCAGAGACAACTTACTAATTACGAAGTATAATTTTAGCATATCTTGGTTATATATTATTAAATTATTGTTAATCTTGACTTTTCATTAATTATTAATATGTATATTGTAAGGGATGTGATGGTTCCGTATTGCTAGATGGATCAGCCAGTGGTCCAAGTGAGAAGGATGCTCCTCCAAACTTGACGCTTAGGTCTCAAGCATTTAAAATTATAAATGATCTTCGTGCGCTTGTGCATCAGCAGTGTGGACGAGTTGTGTCTTGTGCTGATATAACTGCCCTTGCAGCTCGTGATTCTGTTTTTCTGGTATCATTACTTTTATACCCCTTTGGTTCATTGAATTAGGTTATAAATGTTTCTATGCTTTCAAAATATATGACTATTTATTTTGAAACCTACATTTGATCTTAATTTCAATAATCAACTAACTTTATTTACCTATATAATATTGTTCTTAACCTACTTTTACATTGTCTATTAAAATAATTGACTCATTTCTACTTTCAATTTAATATATATGTGCCCTAAGTCTAGGAGGGCAATTATTTGAGGACGTAGGAAGTACAAGATTCCTGATTCGTAGATTATTCAACAAATTATAAATAAATTCCATACTTAACGTTAAATACGTGACATAATAATAATTTATTCATATTCAATTTTTTTATTAAGGCTTTTATTTTTGTACTAAAAGATGTCTTAAATGCTGCTATGTACGGAGCACTTTGTATATTTTTACAACTTAAGGCTTGTTCACATTACTAAGCCGAGTTGAACTGAATTGAAATGAATATTTTATGAGAGAAGGAAATTACGAGTTGAACTGAACTTATTAGAGCTGAACTGAATTTATTGGAGCTGAATTGAACTGAAATTAATCTAAAGTAACAGACCCTTAACACGTGCCCCCGCGATAACACCACATAAAATAGACAAATAGAAAAAAAAGGTTATCCATTTATCATCAATCGCTTTCCAACTTTCTCATCAAGAAATTAATAAGTAGGTGTTTGTTACTAATATGGAATATATATGAGTACATCAATGTCAAAATTTTGATAATATACATTCATTTAGGTTTGTTTGTTTATTTATTTATTCTATTTTATTTACTTAGATAAAATAAAAGTTGTTTTAAGTACATATCCATTATACTTTACAGTTATTTGCATGGTTAATATGGAATTACTTGGTCACGTTCCTTTACTATTATTACACTTTACACGATTTTGAGTTTGCGAATATGCATGCAAGGTTGATATGGAATTTCGTGCTTGCGTTCCTTTACTATTTATTAGTCTATTATTACACTTTACACAGTTTGTGTTGATGGAGAATATTTCCGTATATTATTACTCTTATGCATGTTTGGGTTGTACACCAACATATATTGCTTAATGGTAGAATATTAGACATGATTGGTTTCAAAAAAGAATACACATGATAGAAACCTACATATATACACAATTCTACGTATAGAAGCGTAAGACAACCATAGACCATAGTACTATTATTATCCTTACTCCTTAACTCCTTATTACCAACTAGTACAAAACAAGTAGTACTTTTGTTATGTGATTTTTTTTTTTAGGATGTAATACTTTAATTTGCAATTTATATACCAAATAGGACAACATCAAACATTTATAGTACATATTTTAATTAAATGAATTAACCGGTAATTTTATTCAACTTTTTCCCTTAGGAAAATGTTCTAAAGGCGCTAATAGCAATAAACAATAAATTGGTGCTACATTTTCAGACGTGTTGGTGAATACGAAAATTGTGTCTAGTTAAAACATATGTAGTCGGATACAGAACATACCATCCATAAATTTTACGGAGTACTACGTATTAATGTATTTGCTTGTTTTGCTGAATACCTTGCCATCTTGCCAACTCATATGTAGGAGGGATATACGCGGTCATACGGGTACCCAAGAGTCAACATTTAGATAATAAAATCATTGCTTGTTTTAAAGTCAACTAGCTCAAATGATTTCTAGTGTGAAAACAATTGGCTTATCCTGAGAAGTAGAGGCCGGACTTACGATTAAAGAAATAAAGTGTAGAAAAACAATAACTATAAATCCAACAAAACTTTAAATTCTAATACTTCAATGTACGATTTAAATAGTACAAACCAATGGAATATTAGAAACTTTTTTTATTTAATTTATTATTCTTTTTTTTTTTTTGTTTAATGATTTTGCCTTGCCGTCCTATTATAGTTAATTATATATTGTATTATATTCACATATTCTTACTTTGTTACATAAATTGCTAAATTTTAGGCAGGTGGACCATTCTATGGGATACCCTTAGGAAGAAGGGACGGACTAAACTTTGCTACAAGAAATGAAACGCTAGCCAACCTACCACCTCCCTTTTTCAACACTACACAACTCCTCAGCTCCTTTGCTACCAAAAACCTAAATGCCACGGACCTCGTCGCCTTATCCGGTAGCCACACCATCGGTATCAGCCATTGCACCTCTTTCACTAATAGACTCTACCCTACTCAAGACCCTACCATGGCCCAAACCTTTGCTAACAACCTTAAACTCACGTGTCCAACTTCTAACACTGATAACATTACAAATTTGGACATTCATACTCCTAACATTTTCGACAACAAGTATTATGTTAATCTTATGAACCGCCAAGGCTTGTTCACTTCCGATCAAGATTTGTTTACTGATTCAAGGACTAAGGGAATAGTCACAAGTTTTGCGGTTAACCAAACCTTGTTCTTTCAAAAGTTCATAGACGCGATGGTTAAAATGAGCCAACTTAATGTTTTAAAGGGGTCACAAGGGGAAATTCGCTCCAATTGCTCCGCAAGAAATGCTAATAGTAACGTGGATCTCAAGTCTATGGTGGATGTGGATCAAGAACAAGGAAGATTGTCACAATATTAAGTAACATTTGTACTTCAAGTGGAGTATTTGGAGTTTTACTATATTTATTTATGTATGTTTGCCCAATCTCTTACGTGTAAGGTGTGACGATGCCTAGATGTGTGTCTTTGGAATGTTTTCTATATATAAAATGCATGAATAAATGAGATTTAATCTCAATGAATGAATTCCATGCTCATATTGCTCAAGTAGTGTATTTAAAATATGTTTCTCGTATCATAGGGTAACTTGTTAAGTTTCTTTGTTCCCATTTTAGTATTAATTTTCTTGTAAGGTTCTGACTTAGTACATTTGTACTATTTTTCACATATGCTACCTTAATTACAAAGAATATTTGTTGGTTTTAACTTAAGTGGAATAAAATCATCACATGGGTTCACATTAAATCCGCGTCTTGTTACCTTGATGATTCAATATTATAATATCCCATTTTATCAATTAACAGTCCTAATTTATTTTTTTTTCTATATCTATCAATTACATATTACAAAAGGCAAAATCCAGAGGGACACTTGACAACGTTATATTAAAAATTTTCCCTCCAAAAAAAATTTGCCAAAAAAAATAAAAATCTTAAAGGATTTTATCAAGATTATCACGTTCGCTTTATATAAAATCTAAAGCTATCTAAAATATCAAATAATTTATTATAACTATTCTTTTTTTTTTTTTAAATAAATATGCTTTATTTGTACTCTTAAATAATTGGTGTGTCGAATACTTATTTTTTTAAAACTGTTTATATAATTTTGTTGTAATGAAAAGTATTTAATAATCGTGCATCTGATACACGAGGTTTAAATTAGTTATGTGGATATATCTGTAGATCGTAGTGAGTGTGAATCGTGTAGTCATTGCTTTATCTAATGAAACACCATGATCAATGAAGTCTGTACCCAAATGGTAGAGTGAAGAGAACAAAGTCAAGATTAGGAATCACACAATTATATAACAAATTGCCATTTGGTGTTCTAAGCATCACTGACAATCCTTCTTTTCACTACAAATAATTAAGAAATTTGTCTTAGACCATGATCACTTCACCTTATTACAATAATATTCAACAAAATAATTTATGTTTACAAAAAATAAATTCAGTTTAGTAAAAATAACTAGTAAAATTCATTAGTTTTAAAGAACAAACATAATAAAGAACCAGTTAATATAAATTTAGTCTGTAAAAAAAAAAATTATTCAGCAAAAGAAAAATGCCTTTGTCAAAAAAAAAAAAAAAAAGAAAAATGGCAAGTCATGTTATCTTTATCTAATGTACAAGATTGAATTATAATCTTAGATATACATGCTATACAATAATAATACATTCAACTTGTTCCCAAAATCCCAATAAATAATTGACTTTCATGGTCAAACTACATCAACTTTGACAATTGATTTCTTTATTAATTTAATTTTTTAATCAATATACTAAATCTGTATCACATGATCTTATTAGCTAATTTGACTAAAATTTGACTTTAATTCTTAATGAAAAAAAATGTTAAAAATGAAGTCTTATTAGTTTTTTAAAAATGTGTATTTTCCAAACACATAATTTTCATAATTTTTGTAATTACAAAATTAAAGATATTTAGCAAAACAAATTTGCATATAAAATGATAAGGTTTGATTTGAAATTATTTTTTCTAATGATAAGGTTTGATTAGAAATTATTTTTTCTGATATGATCTAAACTAAACAATAAAGTAATGAAATAAGGTGAATAAAAAATATAAAGCCAAAAAATATAGTGAATTGTTAAACACCGCCAACAAAAATGATTACCACCGCCAACATTCGGTGTGAATGGACAATCGTACCCGTATTACTTCACCACCCCTTATCCTCCCGGCGACCCACAACCCCTTCCGATTGGCGATGACCGCCACCACCCTGATCGACGACCCACCATACCCTCCTCTACGACGACCCACGACCTTCCCTCGCCGGCGGAAAGGTAGTGGTTTAATATATATATATTTTTTATTTCAGGCAACCGCGGTAATCGGAGCCCAAAACCGGTTGCCGTGCGCGATAACCGAAGCCAAAAACCGGTTACCGTGCATGGTGACCTTTTGGGCTCCGGTTAGCATGGAATCAGTTAAGGTGCACGGTAACCGGTTTTGGGCTCCGGTTACCATGCATGGTAACCCGTTTTGGTCTCCGGTTACCACGCATGGTAACCGGTTTTGGGCTCCGGTTACCGTGCACCTTAACTGATTCCATGGTAACCGGAGCCCAAAACTGGTTGTCCTGCCCAGTAACCGGTTTTGAGCTCCGGTTGGTACAGTTGTCAAGGAAAAAAAAAACCCCACCACCTTTCCGCCAAAGAGGGAAGGTGGTGGGTCATCTTTGAGGGGGATGTGGTGGGTCGCTGGTCAGGGTGGTGGTGGTTAACGCCGATCAGGGTGGTTGTGGTGGTGGTGGTCGTCGGCCAGTGTGGTGGTGGTGTTAGTCGTCAATTGGGGTGGTGGTGTCAAGGTGTTAGTGATTGGTGGCAAGAGGGAAGATAGTGGTGACGTACTAAGGGTATGGTTGTCAATTTACACTAAATGTTGGCGATTTTGATCATTTTGAATGGCGGTATTTAACACTCCCCAAAATATATGCTCACTTTAATTATTTACTTTATTTTTTCTTGCACCTACACTTTAACTTTTTAAACTTTCTAACTGTGTCCATTGTTTTCTTACACTCACTCACCGCATCATCAAACTTAGTCTCTGTAATCGTCATATATTCTATGTATGGGGTGCTAAATACCGCCATCTAAAATGACCAAAACCGCAAACTTTTAATGTGAATGGTAACTGGAGTCCAAAACCGATTACCGTGCGTGGTAATCGGTTAAGGTGCACGGTAACCGGAGCCCAAAATCGGTTGTCGTGCGTGGTAATCAGAGCCCAAACCTGTTACCATCCATGGTAACCGGTTTTGGGCTCCAGTTACCATGCACGGTAACCGGTTTTAGGCTTTGGTTACCACGCACGGTAATCGGTTTTGGGATCCGGTTACCACGGTCGCCTGAAATAAAAAAAAAAAACAACTAACTTCCCACCGGCCAGGGAAGGTGGTGGGTTGTCATAGAGGGGGGGGGGGTGGGTCGTTGGTTAAACGGATTGTGGGTCGCCTATTGGAAGGGGTTGTGGGTTGCCGGGAGGATGAAGGGATGGTGAAATAGTAAGGGTACGATTGTCCATTCACACCAAATATTGGCGGTGGTGATACAGTTTTATTGGCGGTGTTTAGTAATTATATATATATATTTATATTTTCGAAAAAGTAATTAAAACAATTGAGGAGAAAATTTTAACCTGATATAAGTAGATGCGAAGATGCGTTACCCCTAGATCGGGGAGGTGTAGGTTATTAAAAAAAATAAGAAAAAGAAAGTTACACTCATATAAGGGAAATTGTTGGCAATAACTCTTAAGTTAAAAAAAAAAACCTATAATGGAAAGAGCAATATCCGTCAATTTCAATTTGTTTATCTAGGGGTATAATTGTCTTTTCAAGTACTAGTGGAGGGGTATATGCGTCTTTTCATGTACTAGTTGAGGGTTACATGTGTAATTTACTTACCAAACAGTAAAAGTAAAAAGCAAACAGTAATTAGCTAGACAGCTCACCAAAAGTACTGAATAAATGACCCTGATTTTTCAATATATTTACAAAAATGCCATCAGATTAACAAAAATTCGTTTATCTGACAGATTAACTTGTATTTTCCATAATGGAAATACCCTTAGCTTAGTGAATCCTTTCCAACTCCAAAATTTCATTACAATATCTTTTTTGAGTAAAACTAACACTAAGGGGTAAATTTAAATATACAAGAGTTTTTAATAAGACCATGTCATTATTGCTAAGACTATCGTTTTCTTATATATTAAATAGAAACTAGAAGAGACTTATTTTTTTTTTTGACGAGATAGCAGAAAGAGACTTAAACATAAAGAAAATGTTCTTCTAAATTAAATACAATGATGATCATATAATATTCTTATGATCATGTAACCAAACCTATGACAAATGAATGCTATACACTAACTCGAGACAATGATTTTTTTTTTTCTCTGTTTTTGAAAGAGAGATTGATAATGACTTTTTGATTAGGTTATCTACAAAATACATATAACAAAAAGCAATTTGGAATTTTTTGTACTATCTCTGTTTCATATTATGTGTAACGAACAATTGAACTTTTTATATCTCACAAAAAATATCCAAAAATTGCACCTATTGTGTGTAAAGGAGGTAGAGTCTGTTCTCCTCAGCTTATTTTCAGTTCAGTTCCTAATTTCCTTCTCTCATAAAATATCCAGTTTCAGTTTCACTTCAATTCAGCTCAATTCAGTAAATCTGAACAGACCCGTAGTAGATGATAATTTATAAATGATGGCTTTCAATCAATATTTTTTTAACACATAAAAGACGATATTATTTATTACTTAAAGCGTTTACAATAAACACACACAACCTCCTTCCGTAAGCAAAATTAGAGGTGTGCTTAATAGCTAAAACTAAAACATAAGACCTCAAAACAGCAACAAAATAAGAGGTCATCCAACTTAAAGTATTAAAAGGATTTCAATCAATAAATTGTTAAATTGTCTATTCCCTTCCTCTTAAAAAATTGATAACAAAATTATCAAGCTTGTGTCTGCCATACGTAAGAATTTTGACCAAATGCCAAGGCAGACAAAAAAAATGGCTCAACCTGTGTCATTCATGCATGTGGAAATGTGGAATATATTTAGCAAGACAAACGGATAATTTTAGTCAATTTCCCTATTTCAACTAACCCATTACAAATAATACACCAAACAATCAAGACTACTACTCTTTTGTTCTTTATTTTTGTCCCACCTAGAATCTTAAATTTGAAGGTAAAAAAATATTAATATCAACTACTTCGTATATTGGATAAATATAAGTAAAAACAAATATTGATGTATGAGCTTGTTATTAGATTGGTCGATGCTATTTTTTAATCCTTTTAAAAATAATTGATGAAATATTTATGTTGAAACCTGTGTACTCCCTTTGTTCTAAAATATCTTATATAGTCAATATTGCATACATGCTAATGAAATACTTTGATTTTATTTTTTATATATTAAATATTTAAAAATTATTTTAAAATTATGTTATGAAGTTTTTATATTAATACTTATTTATCTAATAACTTATTTTATGCTATAGTATGTTTTTATTACGTTAGTAAAAAAATTATGGTCAAAGCTAATACATAAATAGTAAAAAAAAAATTCAATGTCCTTGATATTCTGGGACGGAAGGAGTATATAACAAATGGAGCTTAGCAAACTAAAAGAAAAGGTGAAGTACGTTTTTTTTAAATACTCTCAGGTGGAAGGTGCATTTAAAGTATATTCTGTTCATTTAATTATTATTATTTTTTTTTGCTCATTCCTAAGTTTTTAAATGAGCAAAAATTTTATCAAATGAGCAAAAAAAACTATTATTCACCTTTTCTACCTCTATGTGTACCCGAGTAAGGAGTACAGTCCCTAGAGTAGTTTATTACTCCGTATTATATATACTTCCTCATTTTTCTTTTAGATGCAACACATCCTTTACCACGGTAATTAAGAAAGGTGGGGTTTACATGATATAATAAACTTTAAAATAGGATGAGTGACTATTAGGAGTGTAATTTAGTGGGCTACGTGCCTTAAATAAGGGATATAGTATAGTTTTTCCCTAAAGTAACTTTCTTTTTATAGTGTGTTGCAAGTATTGTGACATTTCCTTTTTAGAGAAGTGTTGCAAGTAAAAGAAAACGGAGGAAGTATATTTTTTGGTGCACTAGCTATTATTATAATATTATTATATCACCAATAATATATTTTCTCCGCTTCTCTACCTCTTGTTTTTCATTATATATTGGCTTATGCAAATATGCAATGGACAATGTTTCCAAGTCTACCTAAAACAACTTTATAGATGGCAGCCTTAAAGTTTTTGCCTCTATTCCTAGTTGTATCATCTTTGGTAATAGGAGTCTCTAAGGGTCAGAGTACAATACCAGTTGTGCCTGGTCTTTCATACACATTTTATTCATCTAGTTGTCCTGGTTTAGATTTCATTATTAGAGCTCATCTTTGGCAAGTGTTTCAAAGTGATATAACTCAAGCTGCCGGCTTGCTCCGCCTTCACTTCCATGATTGCTTCGTTCAGGTATATATCTACGTCCATCTAAATTTAATTGTCACGTAGCACTAGTTGATGATACAATCAAAGAGTGTCAATTATTGTCACTACGTACAAGAGTACAAATATATGACAAGTAAATGTTAGAATAGCGTTATAGGCTTGATGGTCAAGCTAGCTAACTGATAAGGTCTACTCTATATAGATAAAATTCATCATGCATATTTTAATGAGGATGTTATTACTTTGTTTTTAAGGGATGTGATGGTTCAGTGTTGTTGGATGGATCAACCAGTGGTCCAAGTGAGAAGGATGCACCTCCAAACTTGACGCTCAGGGCTCAGGCATTTAAGATCATAAACGACCTCCGTGCCCTTGTGCATCAACAATGTGGCCGGATTGTCTCTTGTGCTGATATCACTGCCCTTGCTGCTCGTGAATCCGTATTTCTGGTATTTTTATTATCTTTTTTATTAGAATAAGAAACTAAAATTTTAGCCATTCAATAATACGTAATCCCTCAAAATCTATTTTTATGCCTCATTTGACTTTACAAAGTCTTCAAGATGCATCTTAAAACGTTTTCACATAATTCCATTTCTTTACACAAAATGGTTATAAAACTTTATATTAATAAAATATATAATGAGACGAATTTAGCAAGATTCTAAAGATTATTTATCACTTATAAATTAATAAATTGATGTGAACTAATAGTACGTAAAAGTTTTTGAAATTTAAACCAATACTTTACAATGGGGTTAAAAATACGGACAAAGGGAGTTATCAGCTAATAAAGTAATTGTAAAATGGTAGGGATCAATTAGCTGAGGTAGTATGTAAGGCTGGTTTCCCAAGAGACAAGATAAGATAATTAGTTCTGTATATGAAAATGAAATTACATAAATTATTTGAATGGACGTTGTATTAGTAAGAGTCTTAGAGAGGCTGTCCCCAAGACCATATATTAATGTGAAATCATTGATTTTGTGTGACAAGATTTGAATAAAAGTACAGTGTTTTAGTACTGGCGGCTAATCTAGAACTTGGAAAAATTATAAAGATCGAAGAAAAAAAATTATGACTTTATTATTTCAAATCTAACCTCTTTTTTCTTGATTTTATTGGAATAGTTTGATAAATAATTTCTTTACAAGAACCTTTTTTTTTTTTTATTAAAATTTATTAATTTGCAAACACAGCTTTTTGACATAAATTATGAGAAAGAGCTTAAATAATATTAATGAACAAATTTTTGTAAATAAATAAATAAATAAAATGTTAACAGACAAATTAATCAATATAATCACGTAATACCTAACAATTTCCTACTCTAATCGCCTCCTAAAATTACATAAAAAATTAGCTCTTGAAAATCGTGTCTTGAATCTATATTTATATTTTTATGATTTATCTAATATAATGTATGTAGAATTTTGATCTCACACTAAAATACTTTGCTTGTGATTTTTCAGTCAGGTGGACCATTCTACTGGATTCCCTTAGGAAGAAGGGATGGCCTTAACTTTGCTACACTTAACGAAACCCTAGCCAATCTACCACCCCCCTCTTTTAACACTGACCAACTCCTCAACTCCCTATCCAACAAAAACTTGAACGCCACGGACCTCGTGGCCCTCTCCGGAGGCCACACCATCGGGCGCAGCCATTGCTCCTCATTCGCTGATAGACTCTACCAGTGGCGGAGCCAGGATTTACAAATTGGGGGGACGGATTATGGATATAATATAATTAGACAAAAATCTTAACCAAAAAAAAAAAACAGGAACATTAATCTCATTCCAACTACTTGATCATCTACCTATCATCTTAGCATAAATGTGAATTAAACTAAAGTAAACTCAATACACAAATTCAGATTAACAACCTATACATTCGAATTTTACTACAAGTCATTTTGCAAACAATCAAAAATACCTAAAATTTCTATAAATTTAAACAAAAAATTAAAAATCAAAGCATCCCTCAAAAATACGATAAACCCATATCAAATTAACAAACACCCAAAAAAAATTAGGTTATTAGGGTTTATAGAAAACAAACTTTTAGAAGATCTGAGGGTTTTGAGAACAGCCTTGTAACCAAGAGTGTGCTTTCCACTCTTCATAACAAGAGCCAATCTGTTGTTGATGCTCTCATGAGTCTTCTTTTGCAATTCAACCCAACATTCAAGTTTCAAATCTTAAGAGAAATACTAGGCAATGCAGATTTAAAATGTTGCTCTAGACATGATAATATATTAAAACCCGGGTACAAAACTCAATATTGATGAAAAAATTATTAAAAACTATGCAGTATATATAATGACAAACATGCAGTAAATATACCTACATAAACCTCTTATTTCTCGATCTCTTTCTTTATGATGGGAAATTCTTCAAATGATGCTTAACTGATGAAATTCACAAAAATAACAAATCAGTCTTTTCTTTTAGAGAACCCCATATTAATCTACAAAAATGTTATAATTTTAATTTTTTGGGTACATTTACCGATTTTCAGTAAATTAGATGGGTTCGTTGACAAATTAAAAGGGCAAATTCAGCGAAACACGAATTTTGAGCAGAGAACTTTACCTAATTGCGAGGATGAAAGCTTCGGCACATTATATGGTTCGCTGATTGAAATTCGACATACCTATTTCACCAAATTGGAACGAATTTGTAGTTTAGGGTTTTTCAAGCAAAATTTCGACATTGATATTGACAGAACTATTTCACCAAAATTTCGAAATTAATATTGATATACCTGTTTCACCTGAGAAGCTGATTCATTGCAGAATGGAAGGCTCAGAAGCCGCTTCAATGGAGAATTTAAAGTACGGCTTCAATGAATAATTCAAGGTACGACTTTATGGAGAGGAGGGAGGAGCGAGGTTGAAGAAGAGAAATGAACGAGCGTCGAGCGGCTTGCAGAAGAGAAATGAACGGGCCACCTTTTTTTTTTTTTTCTTTTTTTCTTTTTTTTCTTTTCTTTTTTATTTAATTTTTTTTTTTGAAAATGGGGGGACAAGTGTCCCCACTCGTCCCCTTCTAGCTCCGCCCCTGGACTCTACCCTCAAGACCCTACCATGGACCAAACCTTCGCTAAAAACCTTAAACTCACGTGTCCAACAAACACAACTGATAACACCACGAATTTGGACATTCGTACACCTAATGTCTTTGACAATAAGTATTATGTTGACCTAATGAACCGCCAAGGCTTGTTCACTTCCGATCAAGATTTGTATGCTAATTCTAAGACGAGGGATATTGTCACAAGTTTTGCTATCAACCAAAATTTGTTCTTTGAAAAGTTTATAGATGCAATGGTTAAAATGGGACAACTTCATGTATTGACGGGGTCACAAGGGGAAATTCGCGCTAATTGCTCAGCAAGAAATGCTAATAAGTATGATGAGGACATTAAATCAATGGTGGAAGTTGATCAAGAACAAGGAAAATTGTCACAATTTTAAGGAACAAACATTGTACTAAAACTTCAAGAGATATGTATATGTTTGACTAGTCTCCTACACGTAAGGTCGATGTTTTAATGCGTGTGTTTAGTATCTTATAATAAGGTGAGGTATGATGTCAATGAACTTGTTTGGAGCGTTTTTTCTTGACTTGTTGTATCATTGGGTACTTATTGAATGGTTTCTTCCTACGTTTTTTATGAAAAATAATACTCCTGTTTTTAAATGATTGCATCTAAATAATGGATTAGTTGAAAAGATGGGTATGGAACCAGATTATTTAGATTAAAGTTAAGCATTGTTATAATCAAGGTTATTAGGATTGGGATTCTAATTAGGATTGTCATTGAGGGACGTGTTAGTTGAGACGAATACTACAAGAGGGGGGTGAATTGTATGTGAGTTTCTAGTGGCTACTTTTCACGAAATATAAAACAGAATGTAAAGGAACTTGTAATGCACACAAAATTTTACGAGGAAACCTTTCAGGGCCCAATTGGAAGTAAAACCTCGACCTTTATAAGGGATTTCCAAAACCAAATCACTCTACTATAATAGGGCAAACACATAAGTTACAACCTATTATACTCAGACCTTTACTCACAAATTCCAGACTGAACTTGTACTTCTTGAGTACTACACTAGAAGCTTACACAACTGTATGCAAAGATGTCTTTCACACACTCACCAAAGAACCCAACCAATACCAAATACTTGACTCCTAGTATATGAAAGGCAAGCTATGCATGAAACCCGAAACTAATATGACAAAGTTATAAGCTTGACAAACTTACACAATTAAGCACAATTCGATCTCTTCACGCATAAACTCACAGAAAATAATGAAATGAGATTTCTACTATTTATACAAGGCTAGCTCGTATAGAAAGTAAGGTTTTCAAAAGATAAGTGTGTTAAATTAACAAAATCCCAAAACACGGTTTTAAGTAAAAATATTTCAAAGAAAATCTTTTTAGAAAACTTATCAAGAATAGGTTCGTTATCAATCGAATAATATCATTTGATAATCAGTTTTTAAGAAGTAAATCTTTTTAGAAAATCTTTTCGTAAAAACTTATCCTTTTTAAACACTAGTAGAAAAAGGTAAAAAGGCACCATTCAATGGCTACCGATTTTTATCAACCGGTGGGAAAAAAGGGGAAAAATAGGCGGGGATAGTATTGCCAACCGGTTCAAACCGAATCGGTGGGGAATATATTATTCCCACCGGTTCAAAATTGGTGGCTTTCTTATATAAAAAAAAAATCGGCCTTTTTTAATTATAAAACACACCCCTTTTCTTCCTTTCTATATATAACCCCCTTTTCCAAACCCTAACTCCTTCATCTTCTCTCCTCCCTCATTCTCTCTTCTCTCGTCCCCTCTAATCTCACTCCTTCAATTCATTCCTCTGATCTCGCTCCTCCTTCATTCAATTCTCTCTTCTCTCGTCCCCTCCTGCCTCCTCTTCACCTCTTTTGACCACCAACCACCGCCACCACCACTTAAATTCGCCGCAACAACACCAAATTTGAGGGTTTCAGGTCAAATTCAAGATAATTTCAGGGGGTTTTGGTGAAATTCGTGGTAATTTCTCTTTTTTCTTACTTTTATTTTGATTTTTTTTGGTGGAATTCGTGGTTATGGTGGCGGTTTTTGGTGGTGGTTGTGGTTATGGCGGTGGGTGGGTTTAATTATTCGAGGTTAGGGTTTAATTTCAGAGTTTAATTCGAAGTTAGGGTTTAATTAATCGATTTTGTGATTTTCAAAGTTTTTAAAATCGATTTTAATTCGATTTTTATTTGATTTTAATCAATTTTAATTCCTTCTGGGCTTAATTCGATCTCCTTCTGGGTTTAATTCAATTTTAATTCTAGGTTTTTTTTTTTGAATTTTTTTATGAGATCTTTAAAATCAATTTCTGGGTTTTTTTTTCTGGCTTTTTAATGAAATTTCTGGGTTTTGTTTTTATTTTTGTGGGTTTCTTTTATTTTCGCAGGTTCTGGGTACATGCATAGTCGATTTATTTATTTTCCAGCTTATGGGTACATGAGTAGTCGGTTTATGGGTTTATTTCGCAGCTTATTTATTTTAGTCGATTTATTTTTTTGTTATAATTGATGCAGGTATATTGTTTTACATGCTAAATCGAAGAATCAAGATGCAGGAGTTGTTTTGTTTTTTATTTTTTTATTTTTTTTTATTTTGATGTTGTAATTATTTATTTTGATTTATATTGTAATTTTTTTGATTTATATTTTAATTTTTTTATTTATATGTTGTAATTATTAGATTTTTTTTTATTATATGTTGTAAGTTTGCGATTATATTGAATGATATTGTTCGATTTATATTTTGATGTTGGAATTTTTTTTTGATTTAATTGTTCGATATTTCAAGTGAATAAAACAAATATATATATATATATTATATATATATATATATATATATATATATATATATGTATATATTCATGGAGTATTGCCACTGGTTAACCGGTGGCATTAAATTTAATATAAAAAAAGCAGGAAGTGATTATTGCCACTGGTAAACCGGTGGCAATAATATATAATGCCACCGATTAACCGGTAGGAATAATAGTTTTTGCAACCGATTTTGAACCGATGACTTTTAAAGAAGGTATTGCCACCCCCCAAATATAATGCCCATCGGTTTAAAACCGGTGGCATAAGGGAATCACTACAAGAAAAAAACGTAATTACGACGGAAAAAATCCGTCGGAAAAATCTTGTTTTCTGTCGAAAAACCCTTGGGTTTTCCGACGGAAATTCCGTTGGAACCGGTTGTCACAATACAGTTTGTAGGAAAATCAACCTTTTTCGATGGAATTTCCGTCAGAACCACTTTTCCGACGGAATTTCCGAAGGAAATCGATCCGTCGAAAGAGGTTTTCTTGTACGAAAAAGTCCGTCGGAAATTTTCGACGGACTGTAATCCGTCGGAAATTCCCGACGCAAATTCCGTCGGAAACTTCAAGGAAAAAAGTAAAAAAAAAAACACTGCGCCACCGCTTCCAGCCACCGCCGCCACTACGTCTAACCAATTCACTCGCCTTGACCCCACCTGTCGCACCTCCTCATACCACCTAAAACCGAACCCACCCACCACCTAAACCCTCCAGTCGTACCACCTTAACTCGAACCCACACACCAGTTTAACCCACCAGTCGCACCTACCCACCCACAACCTTAACCCACCAGTCGCACCCACCTAACCCGAACCACCCACCCACCAGCGCACCCACCTAACCCTAAGGTCCCTAACCCACCCAACTACTTCATATCTACCATCTAAACCCACCTAATCCGAACCCACCGACCTTAAACCACCCAACTAACCCAGATCTATCACCTAAACCCACCCAAATAAAATAAAGAACTACCACCATAACGCTACATATTCCGACCAACTATCTACCAAAAACTACCGCCCAAAACCACAACCAAACCTAAAATTCGAATTAAAAAAAAAATACCTTTAAAATCGAATTTTGCTTTGAATTTCACCTCGAATTTGGTTTAATAACCATTAATTTTTTGAGAGCACCACACTTCCACCATTAATTTATCTGTAAAGACGCCGGATCATTATTTGTGACTCAAACTCTTGCCGCCGACAAAGAAAAGAAAGAAAGGAAAGGGGAAAAGGAAATAGAAGATAGAGAAAGGAGGAGAAGTGGAGAGAGAAGGAGAAGAAAGGAGAAGCAGGAACGAATGTGAAAAGGAGAAGAGGAGAGAGAAGGAGAAGATAGGAGGAGCAGGAACGAGAAAAGAAAAGGAGGAGAGGAGAGAGAAAGAGAAGAATAAGAGGAGAGAAGTAGGAAGGCGGAAATAAGATGGAGTAGGGTTTGGTGAAAAGAGTTTTATTTTTTTTAAAATAAAATTATGACGAAAAATTCCATCGAAAATTTCCGACGGATTGTAAATCCGTAGAAAACTATAAATTTTGACGGAAAATTCCATCGGAAAAATTCGACGGACTGTAAATCCGTAGAAAACTATAAATTTCGACGGAAAATTCCGTCAGAAATCACATATATTCCGATGGAATTTATTTTCTTCGAAAATTTCCGACGGATTTTCGACGGAAATTTTTAATTCGTCGGAAATATCCGAAGGAAAATAAATCTGTCGGAAATATTGATTTTTCCGACGGAATTTCATGTCCGTCGGAACCAGCCCGTCGCAATTTGCCTGTTTTCTAGTAGTGAGTTTTGAACCGGTGGTTTTTTGCATTTTTCTACTAGTGAAATTTTCGTATTTTAATTAAGCTTGCCAAGCTCTTTACCAAGATTCTAATAAGTTTAATTCGTTAACCTAATTAATATATTTACAGCAAATCTAAAAGATAAAATCTTAACTAAATTGCTTCACCAATATTCTATATTCTTAGGATACTTGGGCTTCACACAGTCCAGGACTAAGTTCCTGCTGTCGCTTGCACTCCAGTTCTAAACTAGAACTTCGCAGGCCAAGTTCTTCCATAACTTGCTATCATCAACGCAGACCAAGTCAACACCTCAACTTGCTATCTTTGAGTTCCTATTAGGGAATGATGTGTCTATTTTATATAGTATTTTATCCTCGTCCCTTGGTCATAATTAGTAGTGTTTTTGGCTCTTTAGAGCCACTTTTATTACTAATTGGTGTTTTCTAGTGTTTTCGTAGATTTGGTTGACTTTTGTAGGGATTTACATTTTTGGAGTATTTTCCCGAGATATATTGGAGCAATCATGAGCACTAGAGAAGCACGACCAGATTTTATAGCCCAGGGCCGGTTAGAGCTATCGAACCAGTGATTAAAGGCTCGGTATATGTGATACCGGGGCATTTGGACCGAGTATTCAAGACCCAAAGAGGAAACCTTGATTGGCCCGAAGAATTAGAGCCCAATCGTAGTCCAATTAGTGGCCCAAGAGAGCCGCCCTGCCAAAGAGGCTGGCGCTCGGAGGCGCGCCCGGCCGGGCGTGAGAAGCAAAGGTCGGTGCCCGGTGACGCGCCCGGCCGGGCGCGAGATTCAACCTGAAGAGCAAAAAGGCGCGCCCGATCAGGCGGTGCCTCGCCCGATCGGGTGCGTGTTATTGTTAGGAGACGATTAGCGTCGTTTTAGTTTGTTTTAGTTTAGGATTGTACGGAGTATAAATACTCCTTCGTAATACGATTTTAGGATCTTTTTTTATCTCACACTTTACTCTTTCTTTACTCT